TCACGCCTTCTGCACCAGCCGCCGCGTGCACTGGCGCCTCGCCCAGGCGGAGCACGGGTTTTAGGAGCGGGGGGACCCTTTCTCCATCCTCCCTCCACCTCCTCTCCCTCGCTTGCACCCCTGGCAAGTCAATGCCAGCAAGCATGCGAAGGAAACCGCTCCGTGATTTCTGGCTCCTGGGGGGCTGCTTCCAAGCCTCGGGGCCGTCAACGGAAGCACCCGAAACGAACAACTTGTCCTGGAGAGGGGTTGGGAGGTCTGGGGGCGCACACGGCTCAACTTTGAGGGATTCACGAACCCGGTAAAGAACTCGAATCAAACTTTATTCTGACGCGCGTGCAGCACTTTCCGTTTGCTTGGCTGCAACCACTACCTCTCCTCCTCTTCCTCCTCCTCCTCCTGCTCCTCCTCCTGCTCCTCCTCCTCCTCATCTCAACCCTTCTCCTCCTCCTCCTCCTCCTCCTCCTTCCTCCTCCTTACTTCCTCCTCCTCGTCATCATGTTCCTGCCTCCACTTTCCTTATCCCCATTGTCATCTCCCTCCTGCACGGCGGCGCCTCTGTAGTGTGAAGGATACGATCTGGCACGACCAAATTGGGCCCCCCAACGGGGGCCGTGGACACTTAAAAATACATGCCCCGAGCGCAAGCGCCGGGCGCATGTTGCCCCCCCCCCCCGCGCACATATTTTCACGTGTCCGCCGACTACCGCTTGCCGGGGGTGAGAAGGCGTGTGAGATGACTGGCTGTCCCCGCTGCCCACCTTTCCCCCTCCCCCATGGTCCAAAATCTTTTTGAAGGGGGGGGGGTAGAGCCGGTTGCGGTTGTTGACGGCCTCGAGGGAGAACCTCGGCGACCGTTTTTAGGGAGCGGTCCCTCCCGGCAGCACAGCAGCATTTTGAAGGGGGGGGGAGGGGAGACCCGGGCTCGCTGGCGCACCCCCGGAGAATTTCCAGACAGACAGACGTTCCAAGACGGTCCCGGATCGGGGAAAGATTGGCCCAAAACGCTTACGATAGCTCCAAGATGATCCAAGACGCCCTCAAGACGCCCCAAGAGCCTGTCCAAGAGGGCCCCGAGAGGCAACAAGCATGTGTTGTCCTTAGGTTGTTCGTTGTTTCTGGGGTTATCGTCTTATCGAGCTTCCGACACTCCAGGACGGCCCAAGAGGCCCCGTAGACCGCCCCAAACCTGCCCAAGAGGGCCCTGAGGGCCCCAGGACGGCCAAAGAGCATTCCAAGACGGCCCGAAGAGGGGCCCAAGGCGGCCAAAGGTCGCCCCAGGAGGGCCCCACGAGTCGAGGAGAGAGAACACGAACAGAGCATCCCATCCTTCCTCCCCAAGGGCCCCCCCAGAGACCCCAAGAAGCCTCCAAGCGGCCCACAAGAGGCCCCCAATAAGCCCCAAGAGGCCCCCAAGAGATCCAAAAGATGCCCCCAAACAGGCCCCAATCTGTTTCAAAACTGCCTCAAAGAGGCTCCACCAGGCCCCCGAACAGCTCCCAAGACGCAGAGCCCCCAAATAGTGCCCAAAAAGCCCTCGACGCCTCAGCCTTGGACTCCCCGCCTCTTCTGGGAGTCAGCGGGATCGCGTAAGTCTCTTGCATGGAGAATCCGGCGCGCCCAAGTTGGATCCTCCCCTGGGGGCCGTGGACACGTAGAGGTACGTGCCCGCGCGCACGCGCCAGGCGCATGCTGCCCCCCCCCCCCCTCCGCGCAAGTGCTTTCACGTGTGAAGAATCTGGCGGGCCCAAGTTGGGCCCCCCCCCCTGGATTCCGTGTTTGGACGCCCGAAATGGGTACGGAAAAAATTGGTACAATGCCCAACAACAAATGTTGTCCCAAACCAACAGCGGCCGCTGTTGGCCAGGCGGCCTTCTTTCTCAAATTGGCGCAGGCCGCGGTGGCGCGGACAGCGAGTCCTGTTCAAAATGAACAGGAACTGCTGTTGGGCATTGTACGCATTCTTTCCCGTACCCATTTCGGGCGTGCCGAGCCGTGGGCCGGTGAAAATACGTGCCCCGCGCGCACGCGCCAGGTGCATCTTGGGCCCCCTCCCCCCCCTCCGCGCACGTGTTGTCGGGCTGGGCGAACGGGGGGGGGGATAGCAAAGAAGGGGGGGGGCTTGAGAATCAGCTCACGCAGCTGATTTTCCCAGCTCCTCCCGGCGCCGGGGGGGCGCCCATGCATCGAGGAATGGGCCCGGCGGCGGGGCCCAAACCGGCTGCACGCAGCAGATTTCGTACCCCCCCCAGCCCTTTCCCTATCCCCCCCCCCTCTCGTTCGGCCCGATGCTTCTACGAGTGGAGAATCCGGCGGGCCCAGGCTGGGTCCCCCCCCCCCCCGGGGCCGTGGGCGGGTGAAAATACGTCCCCCGCGCGCGGGCCCCCCCCCCCTCCGCGCACGCATCGTCACGTGTGAGGAAGCCGACGGGACAGGTGGGGTCCCTCGGTCGCGGCCCCGTCGTGGCCAGGAACGTGCAGGCACCCGTGCCGGACGCACGCGCGCCGAGGCTCCTGTGGGAGCCCCCCCTCCCCGCCTGCTGCTCGACACCCCTCCTGATGGAGGAGGAGGAGGCGGAGGCGGGGGAGGAGGCGGAGGAGGGGGAGGAGGAGGAGGAGGAGGAAGAGGAGGAGGAGGAAGAGGAGGAGGAGGAGGAGGAGGAGGAGGAGAGGAGGAGGGAGGAGGAGGAGGAGGAGGAGGAGGAGGAGGAGGAGGAGGAGGAGGAGGAGGGAGGAGGAGGAGGAGGAGGAGGAAGGAGGAGGATAACGCACTGCCTTGGCGGTCACCGCGCAGGTCAAGCTAGCGCTGGGTGAGCACATCAGACCGGGGCCAAGGATGCCCCTCATGCCAGCAGAAAACGTTCCCGCCCCCACCCAGGAGATCACGGAGCGGGCACACAGGCACAGCCCCAAAGCGGGCGTGGCGAGAAAACGCCAGGAACGCGGGTCAAGGCTGGGCCTCCATAGGCCGTGACCGTAACCAAAGCGTTTCAGGGTCAGAGGCCTGCAGGGGCCTGGGGGTTCGGAGGGTCAAACTTCCAGGCCTCCCCTCGTCAGCAAGGTGCCGACCTCTCAAACATAGAATCCTGTTACGTGCCGCCCTATCTGACATCTGATGGAATTCAGGCGGGCGGCAATCGACAAGGAGGTGGCTCGCCACCCCAGTGGTGTAGAAGCCACATCTGATACATAGGACCACATCCCCTGGCGCAACCCAGCACCTGTGCCCTCGCGCCGCTTCGGGCGGCACGATGCCGCAAGGCAGCATGGGGGCGGCAGGCACCGTGATCCCGCTCAGGGAGGGCCTAGGGTTTCGCCTGTTTTGCCTTGGGCGTTTCGCCGCGGGCAGGGAACGTCCATCCTCAATTTCCTGGACAGCGCGATCCTGCTGCTCCTGGGCGGGCGACCGCGCCAGGGTCACAGGGTCAAAGGTGACACGCCTCCGCACATGGCGACCATCGTCAGACGAGCTACACGAGCGAGGACGACACGTCGACAGACGCAAGTCCGACACATCGACCTCGACAAACGGGCGAGGGGCACCAGCAGGGAGGCTACCCCTGCTCCTCTCAGGGGTGACAGCCTCCTCGCGCGGGGGGGGACGAGCCGCCATCGCCATCATCAGCTGGGCCGCTGAGCACCTTGGCCACAGTTTCCCGTTCGCCAGGCGACGGGGTGGGGGCGCAGAAGATGGTTCAGAAGCCTGCTGCTGCATGTCGACAGACGAGGCCGAGACGCGGCCTTGCCCTTGCGAGTGAGGAAGCTGCGATGCCACGAGTCCGCGCGTACCCTTCGAAGCCCGCAGGCGAGCAGGGCAGGAGAGGGAGGAGAGACGACGGACTCTATCGATGGCCTTGGCCCCACACTTACAGAAAGCGCACCTGCATATACTTCGCCCTGGAATCCTCTGGAAGACGTGCCGCAAGTGGCCTGGCACTTCCGCGCTGGGTTCCAATCCAGGGGCAGAGGGGGCGGCGTCGTCTCCGCTTCGCGCGGGGACGAGCGGGGACCCGACCCGCCTCCCCGCACAGGGACAAAGCCTTCACCATCCAGCGAAGGCTGGACACATAATGCTGTGAGCAACAGCCATGGCCTGCCGAGCAGGATGCGAAGCACAAGGAAGATCGCGCCCCGAGGTGGCCGCAAGGTCGGCCCAGCGATTGCCTCTAGCTACCTCGCTCGCGCCGCGCTGGTGACCCCTGCGAAGTTCAAAAGACGCGCCAATGTGGAGGCCCCCCGAGGTCTTCGATCTTGCCCCAGTTGGCCTCCCAAAGGTCAAGATTTTTCCGGCGGGGAGCTAAACGCCAACTAGGGCCTTTGTCAAGGCCATCGGGGAGCCCCTTAAAGTCGGTTATTATAGTAGCTGGAGGAACACAAGCTATATGGGCTTGGAGGGCGGCGTGCGTTTCAGCTCTCGGTGAGGACTGAACGGCGCCAGGTAGCGCCCCATACACTGTACATTTGATGCCTCCATCTCTTCGTTCTGATAACTGAGCGAAGCCCCACCCAGCTCTGGCATACTCTGGCCAATAACAAATACGGCGACACGCTCCATCAGTGTAGATCCTTCCCGAGATTCCCTCTGGACTTCCGTAGAGGACATGCCACCTCCCCCGGTTGCCTCCTGCAGGTAGCGCAGGAAAACATGACCGCCCGATGAGCCCGCGATCCGAAAACCAAGACCCAATTTCACATGCAGGGAGCCTCTGCGGTCTATCAAGAGCGGGCAGCATCAAGAGCGGGACATTCCCACAATATGTGATGCATAGTGCAGGAATTGTTTGCACACAGTCGACACTGGGCATCGTCCGCGTACCCGAGCTGGTGGAGATGCGCAGGCGTCCACATGCCACCAGTGACGAACGCTCGTAGCAGTCCTGCCTCCCAGTGTTCTGGAGACCAGTTCCTAGCGCTCTGCGTGCCCTGGGAGTCCTGCTGTGGACCTGGTTCACTAGGTTGGTCGGGGTCGATGTCTTCAGTAGTTTCATCGGGGGGAAACTCTCGCCCCAAGATCTTGGCAATCGGTTTCAGCCAATAT